TCTCTCTCTCTCTCTCTCTCTCTCTCTCTCTCTCTCTCTCTCTCTCTCTCTTCCTTTCTCCTTCCCTCTTTATCACTTTTGTATCCTCCCACGTCATTTAGCGCATTATACGCGCCTCTTCTGCTTATACAACTGTGGAAGAAACGGGTGGAAGACACATGCGATGCTTAATAGCGGGCCGAGCCGGCGAATGCATTAAATTTAGCAGCGTAAACGCAATCTATACGTAGTATTCTCCGCTGTCGTATAACAGAAGAACTTTGTTAGCAGGAAAGCGAACCGGCGCGCAACAACCTGCGAAGAAAGGAGGATAAGGGGCGGGTTGTGAGATTACAAAAATAAATTTTCGCGCGCGCCTCGACGCCGTCTAATTCTCAGGAAGGAAAGAGCATCCGCGGGTGGTCGCCGCGGCCGTCTCCACGGCGGACAATCCGCGACACCACGGAATGCAGATTTTTCCGGCGCAGTCGAACACCGCGCTACGCTTGGTTTCAATAAAGTATGCGCGAGTAAATATTCATTAAATGTTCAAGCTCTCATGAATAACGCAGGTACTATAAATTGATAAGGATACGGACGTCGGGCCGAAAGGGGAATTTCGTTCGCGGCATATTTTTGCACTTATTACGCGAGATTGCGCGGATTCGGTATTTCGCGGTGAACCTCCGTACTTCGGAAATATGCGAAGGTCGCGCGACATTATTTCGCGAGGTGCGTGCAGCCGCCGCCGCTGCGACGCGGGCGCCGCAGTCACGTTGTATTTCAATCGGATCTCATCACGAAGCATGTGGGTATAACACCGGCAACTCTCCCGAGCTCTCCTTCGTGCCCATCCATCCGTTCAGACAGCTGATGAAGGCGCGTGCAGCATTTAATAGCGCGCTGGGGGTCGCGTTTAATGTGTGCCTGCGCGCGGATTGTAACGAATTCCCGATGCGCACGGGCGCAATACAGCGACGAAGATTACACAATGCAACGAAATGCTGGAGAGCTCGTATTTGCTCGGATTTACCTGCATTCGGATTCACGTTGTTGTTGCGTAATTATATCGGCAATATTAATTGTTAATTTCGCAGCGCGCTGATCGGCGTCGGGAGAGTCGGGCGTAAAAAAAGGCACGTTATTCACAGCGTACGCATACGAAGCGAGTGCATCAGGGAAGAAAAGTAATTTGAATTCAATTATATGTTGTGTATACATACAGCAAATATTTGCACACCCTCGCTATAGCGGGGAATAAAGTTGGTATTGGCAATTGGAGTGAGAAAGCTGCTTTTTGGTGCTGCCTCCTTCTCATTCTTAAAGCGGCTGTGCAAATAACCATTTTGCAAACGACTATGCAAATGATCATGACAGTTATTCTTTTATTTCGATCCACAGTAACAATATTAACTTTTTGTTTCCTGGATATCAAAAAAAGATATTTGTGTTTTTAACAAAAAACTTGCAACAAATATGTTATCAATGGCTTATTGTGAAAATAGA